TACAGTTATGATGCTACTGTATACTGCTGTAAGATATTATTATTGTTACAATGTATTTATCAGTATTATTAGATGTCACTAGAATCTGGAACAGTAATCCATATGCTGGTATGGTACGTCTTCAAGGTGGAAATTATTCTAATGAAGGACTTGTTGAAGTGTATTGTAATGGACAATGGGGGACAATATGCAGCACTGGATTTGGTACAAGTGATGCTAATACTATTTGCAGACAGCTTGGATATGACTCTGGTTTAAGAATATATGATTCATTGTAAAATGACTTATATGTACTTTAAATAATGTTTACACTCAATTCTTGTAGATATGGCAATATAAGTCAGCCAATCTGGAGTACTAACATGTACAGTACATCATATGCTACATGCTTTGGTTCCAGTAACAGATGTCCATCAAGCTCTATCACTAGTTGCTCTCACTCCAGTGATGTCTCAGTCACATGCAGTTAGTTGTATACATAGATGTATAATTAGTTTGGTTATTATTAGGGGAAATGTATTCTACTACTAGATATGCCACTACTTTCTCTACTTGTTCTGGATTAATATGTAAGTTGTTTTATTATTCAAGTGAAACTACATTCTAATTTTAACTTAGCTTATGCTAGACCTGCAACTGCTGGTACAATAGTTCTTTATCGTAATGAGGTTTCTTCATCTTCATACTATTATGGCATTGTGCAACTTTATTACAACAGTAGATGGGGTAACATTTGTGATGACAACTATTACAGTTCTTCAGAAGCTGATGTCATTTGTCATCAGTTGGGATATACTGGAGCTTCAAGCTACTCTAGAGCTGGAAGAACAAGCTATGGGACTGATACTAATCAAATGATAATTGATGATGTGAATTGTGCTAATAGCAACTATTTAACATTATTACAATGCTCCTTCTCTACATACATTGATAGTGGGTGCACTAACACCAATTCCTATGATGCTACAGTCTACTGCTGTAAGAAATAATTGAATCATCAAAATTAAATTTTTTTAATAGATACTAGTAGAATTTGGAGCAGCCCATGTAAGAAGTTGTTTCTAAATGGATCCGGAACTCTCTGTGTACTATTGTAATTATATATTATGTGTTTATTCAAGTATATTCTAGAACAATCATGTAAAGTATTCTTGTATGTTATAGAACCTTCTGGACATTTATAAGATCTATATAAGTGTGTGTTAGTTGTGAGTTTCGTGTTGATTAAGAATAAAGTTTGGTGAACAGATAGCTAGGAGCGTCTGTTACATTTTTTGGTGGCAGCGGTGGGATAGTTCTCAAACGGTTGTAGAGGAAAGACCCACTATTGTATCTCTGCAAGAGAGAGAGACTAAAGTTTATAGTGTCTGGTGTGACTGTTTATGTCGGATAACAGTCGAGAGAATCAAGGGCGGTATTCTCTACGGGACTTACCAAGACACGACTACAGAGGACAGTTGCGAGGATTACATATTTTCAGAGAGAGTTATACTTCAGTTGATACGGAAGACTGTACTGAAGTGGAAGAAAGTCTTATTACAGGAGTTAGTGATCCGATGGAGCAATTAGCGGCAGCTTTGGCAAGTTTAGCAAAGCTTCAGGAGGAGGCCCAGAGACAAGCTGAAGAACGTCGTCGAGAAGAGGAGCGACGGCGAGAGGAGCAAGCTGAAGAACGTCGTCAAGAAGAGGAGCGACGAAGAGAGGAGGCCCAGAGACAAGCTGAAGAACGTCGTCAATGAAGAGGAGCGACGAAGAGAGGAGGCTCAGAGACAAGCTGAAGAACGTCGTCGAGAAGAGGAGCGACAAAGAGAGAGACATTATGAAGAGATACAGGCCATGCAGGAGCAGCATATGCAGCAGATAGAGATTATGAAAGGAGTTCTAGCAGAAAGAGAAGGGAATAGTCCTCATTTGAAAATATCAC